TAAAATAATTCATATATCAAAGCATTCTTACTTTGTATTCAAGGCAGTCTTCTTCCAGTTTTCGAAAGGCGTCAATAGTTGCGATTCCAACTTAACGGTCGTTATTTCCGGCTGCACGACATAGTCCGCGCCAATCGATGTCTTAATCACGTTTTCCGAACCCCAATCCAGAATAATATCTACCAAATAACTGTGTGGACTACGTACGATCAAATCACAAGAGCCGGTTACTAGTCGACCTGGATAAGTCAACATTACCAACACGCTTCGTTTGATTCCGGGAGAACTTACGTCTATCAGATACACCCTGTTCAACTGCAACATCGTACTCAGCTTCAAGGTAGGATCTCTATTAGCATCCCACTTGATTTCTGCCGCAAACTCATGCCGATCCTCCTCGTTGATACCGCTCAGAGTCAGATGCACGTCACGCCATTTATGCAGATGTAGCTCTACACGAATTTCTCGCGTAGTATCGACGTTTGTCATCACCGAGTACACGTTGCCACGGTATCTCGCTTCTACATAAGACATTAAATTGGTCGCCGACAGCATCGTGTGATTCAGCACAAAAGCGTACTTATCATAATCCAGCTGTTCGGCATACAGACTGATTTTGAGATCGCTGTGGTCCTGATATAAATGGCAGTTGAGTAGAATTGGAGTGACAAAGCTTGGCGATTTGAAGATCATTTTCATGTGATGATTGACGATAACGGCAGACGATCGATCAGAATAAGCGCCACGTGCAGTCATATTATGACCGCTAAACCATGTTCCGGAGAACTCCAGGTCGTACTCGTTCCTCGAACGCTCGTTGATACGCGCGTTGATTAGCATTGAATTGAAATTCGGAATTGTCAGGTTTGTATGACCTTCCATAGAAAATAATAAACCGCGCGGCATAATAACATTGACGATCAGACTAATCTCCTTGCCTGCAAATATAGGATTTCTGAATTTTTTCTTATAGCCAAAAAAATTTCGCATACATTTGTAAATAATTGTATTATACGAATTGTATTATTTGTATCTTACCTGGTGCGTATCCTATGAGCAAGCTGGTCTTCGATTCAGGGCCAAGGACATGGTGATTAACTCCCATCTTGAGATCCAAGTTCTGGATGGGTTTAGTGACGGCTATTAACGCAGTCACCTTCGTGCCTTGATTCTGGAAGTACATCTTCGAATAGGAGATAATGAGCTGCGCCGTGAGTTTATGCCGATCGTCCTTAAGGTGCGGATTGGAATTTACTTCGGCATGGAGCTCCAAGTGGCCAAGAGCTTGCTGGTACCAAGCGCTTATTACAGCGTTGAGTTGTGGATAGGCGGTGGAATGCAACTTCATTTCAGCGGCCTTGTACGTTAATGTCTTCGAGGAGCGATTAGACAGCGAAACCTCCAAGTGGAGGGTTTCCTTTCTTGGCATATGTTGCATCTGATAATCCAGCTGAAAATCGCCGGCCAAGCTGATATTTCGCCTAACAATGTAGCCGACTAATTTGCTCCAAACTCGCTTCGTTTGGAAGGTCAGGTCTATATCGAACTGGGAAACATTGTTCTTCTGTGCATTTCTAATGGCACCTGTGATTTCAAATTTCAAGTATTGCTTAACTTTTTAGTATTTTTTTTAAGTATATGATTATATGTATATAGTATACTATTATATATCAATATAATAACTAATTAGAATTTAAAAAATTTAAAGATAAGTAAGAAGCAAAATTAAATTATTTTTTTGAAAGAGTTAATTAACAATATGAACTCAATTGCTTAATTATTAATACAATTGTGCGTACAAAATACCTGAAATGGCAGCTACGCGTTCACTATTGATAATTAAATGAGCTGTAGGATGATAAGTATAACCGTGATTGAACTTTTTTCTCGAGTAACCTAGACTAGCATCTAAGTGCTTTGTGCCATTAATATCAAAACCAATATCTATAAAAGTCTCATCTTCGGAACGTTTATATGTACCTGAAAAATATACAGACATTACTATAATACCTTCGTTCATCATTATTTGAGAAAACTCTAGACACACATTCAGAAAACACTACCTTTAGCAATTAGAGAATTGCCAGCCGAATGAAATAGAGCAGTAACGTTATTATTCATTATGTCAAAGGTGATAACAGCGCTTATCTCTCTATTCACCTGAGAGCCAGGCGTATCGAACATTAACTTAAATGTGCTATACTCCTGAAAGAAAATTAATAAAAAATATGAAAAACATCTATCGCTTTATATATTAATATTCAGAGAATCAAGATTTTATTATAATTCTCATTAAATATCGTTATTTAATTAATATACTTATCGAAAACAAAGAAATTACACGTAGGTATTATATAAAAAGTTATGCGTAGCTTTGATTATACCTGAGTCTTGTTCCAGCTATATTCTAACACATAATTTTTGGCGGTTGGATCAGTTTTAATCAACGAGACCTTGAACAGCGTAAGACCATTTAAAACGAAATAGGGTGCATTGGGATCTTTTGTCACGTTTGTAAATTGATAATCAGTGCACATTTTTAAACCGATCAGCCTATCTAAGGCGGCCCAGCTGCAAGTAGTGTTGCTGACGATATTCTTGGGTATAGCAAGATGTCGCAAGTTTTTCTGATTTTGATCGGCTACCAGAATACTCAATAGTTTTTCCTGCACCTCGCCACCGTTGCTTTTGATAAAAGCAACGTCCGAGACTAACGAAAACATTTCAATCTTGCGATTCGGTAAGCCCAGACTCACATGCACTAAACGGGTGTTGTTTAAATTCAGATGAAGGTGCATATTTCCGGAAGTGTAAAGATTTGTTCGTAGTTTAAGCCCGGCAGATTTGTAAAAAGCATCCACCGTCATTGTGCTCATCATATCGACACTAATACTGTAAAAAGAACAGAATAAAGATATGTGATATTTACATAAAAAACTAAAATTATTTTCTTAAAAAAATATTATCCTATCAAATAAAATAAAGATAAAACATTAAAATTTATTACATATATAAAGATTAAAAATATTATACAAAACTAAAATAAATATATATTATTAACGTAAAAAAATATATCTTTTCTTGCTATAGATATATGCATACATAGGAACTTTTATTTATATCTCTTATGAAAAGAATTTCTTATCTATATTTCAAATAAATTTATTACGAAATAACTTTTTTATTACGAACCTGGAAGCGATATTGGCAGTGAGTTGAAATTCATTATCAGAGAGTCGAGCATTATTAAGCATTTTTGAGATCTTAAAATAGCAAGCCGCAGAACCAGTAAGATCCAAACGAATTGGCAAACCAGATCCCATCGGTACTACATAAGAAGAATCTAAGAACATTGCAGTCTTCTCGTAGAGGATCTCCTGCATAGCGAGAAACTGTTTTATCCTCTGCCAGGGATTGAAATTCATTAGTGCGGCTCTCACTTCCTTGTCGCCGTCCAACATCGTAAACATCAACTCGTTCCCAAATATCTTTCATAATAAACAAGATACCGTAATATTATTATCATTCAATTATTTTTTATTTTATTTACTTTTCTATTACCTTATAACCGAAACTTATTTTCGGATTATCAAAATTGTTATCAATAACATTAGGTAGCCGTTTCACGCCATCCCAATAATTCTCATTCTCGGATGTCGATCTAAAACGTCTGAGAAAATTCTGAATATGATTTGAAATTCGTTCATTACTGTAAATGCCATCCGGACCGAAGAGATTTTCCGCGTAATATTCCAGACCCTCCATTCGCGCTGTGATTTCGAACAGATTCACAGATTGCCCGAGGAGATCGGTAGTCACATTGAAGGTAAGCGAGCGTGGTACGTATGATTTAGGCGAGAAAATTAGATTCGTCTGATAACTCATGCCGATGTTGTACTCTTCGGAAAAGAAGGAGTTCTCGTAATTACGCGAAAATTTTCTAATGTCGTTATTGAATTTGTTGCCGATGTCCCGATCCGTCAGAAGACTTTGGATCTCGACTCTGGTAGGCGAGGCAGAATTGTAGAGATTTGTTAAGTGACTCCATACGAAAGAACCGACTAAAAATATAGAGAAAAACTTATGATATAAAATATTGTGATAAAAATTTATACGTTTGAATTATTTAATGTGAGTATAATAAATGAAGTACAACGAACCTTGGTTGACTTCTTCTACTTTGAGAGCGTGCTTGATAGTCTTGATAACATTGTAATCAGGGCAACGCATCACTTGTAAATAAGAGGCAATACGGATCTCCGTATCCAACGTCATGTTACGATAATAATCGAGGAAGAATTCATCTCGAGTTTCTTCGCAAGACGGCAGTCTACGGTGAGCATCAATGGCAGCAACGCGAACTTCCATAGGTAAGAATCCACCAGTATTGTCTATACATTTCTTCAGTTCTCTTCGCAAGTCTTTCGTTTCGAGTCCCATATTGCCTATCGCTTTCAAAGCTTCCAGCGTCTGTAATTATATTAAAAATCTTGTTTTCTCATTTCTCATTCGTTTTTATATATGTTTTTTCTTTTATTTTACTACAAATAGAGAAAAGAAATCTGTAAATGTCTTACTTCTTTTGTCGTAATGGAAGAATGAAAACTGGGCTCGCAACCTTGCGAAATTTTCTCTTGAAGATGCGATAGAAGTACGTTTACTTCCTTCAAATCAATACAATCAGGATTATTTTTACAATACGTATGAATGATGGTGGAATAACTGAGAATAAATTGGACATGAGGAATTTGATGCTGGAAGTCTAATAGCTTTGAAAGAGCTTTAATGGTGTCGTGATCCGGTTGTGGAAACAAAGCAAAAGTGACAATCCAATCGTTGATGATCGCCTGATTGACGTATTTCTTCATTATCAAATCATTCATCACATTCACTGCGGCATTGCTACTTAAATACGGCAATGCCGCGATAATGTACTTCCTATCGAATAAAAGAAGAAAAATAAATAGATATAGTTAAGTTAAAATCTTAGCAAATTATATTAAACAAAATTAATTTGTTATAATTTTTAATTTTACTTTTTAATTATTAATATTTCCATTTTTGATTAATCAGAAAAACGTTATATCCAAAAACATCAGTTACATACTTCCCGTTTTTGCAAATGCTATCGGCTTTGTTGAACAGCTGTGATAGTAAAGAATAATCCAGGAAACGAGTAGAATGAATGAAATTAGTGAATATTTCGGAAAATCTCTGCTGCAACTCATCGATGCCCCCAAGCCTGCACATATTCTTTAGCAAGTCTCTGGAAGTCCGCATCTCACCGTGCATAGTTTTCAGAGTCTTTGTGTGGTCGTATAATAACGTGGTTCTCTTGACACGAGGTACACTTCGTACGAAGTTATCCTCGTCTCTTCCTTCGTCATTATTGTTTTCATTCTCTTCGAATCCGTAAATGGAACTCGTTTCCGTTGTTTCTTGAACCAGCTGAAGGACCGTCCGAGACTCGGTCTTGGCACCAGCTTTATCACCATTGGAAAGAGGCTGCAGTATTCGCACCTCATTACAGACTACTCTCTCATAGACATTATGATCGATCGTGATTTCGCAATCGCTACGTGAATTGAACAATCCATGCTGACGATGTTGCTTTCGCGGACTTCTATAGGGATTCGACTGCACGATAGAGAAATATTTGGGGCCGTTTCGACAGTCAGCCAGGTACTTGCTCTTCTTCACAATCAGGCTGGTTTTTTTGGCCTCGTACAGGCGGTAGTGAGTATCGCAGATACCGTGAACATCCACCTCATCGTCGTGATGGTCTATGTCGAAGCGTCGCATGCTGTTTTGCAACATCGACAAGATGCCCCGCTTAATATTCAACACCCAGGCCAATTCATGTTGATCTGGGCATAGCTCGTGGATCAACCCATCATCGAAAGTGAACCTCAACTCGTGGCGCTCAAGGTTGGCCTTGAATTCGGAATCAGCGCGATCCGGAAATTTAGGATTGTATGTGCTACGATCGTGGCTGATGCTGGCATTCAGAATTCTTAGAGTGCCCTCGCAGGGGCTGTTGAAGTGTATGGACAGGGTAGCATCAACGTGTAGAGCTGAATCATTTCTTGAATAACTGGATGACAACGGATGATAGCCCAGATTTGTGCTTACATCCACAGAGTATGTATATATGTAGTGGATATCTTCGTGATATTTGAATTTTTTTTCCGACGGAACTAAAAAAATCGAGATAAAAATTTGTTTTTTAGTTAAATGGAAGAAGTTCAGATAATGCCCGTTTCTATCAATACAATGTAGATACGTTGTCTACAACTTTAATCTTGGTTTAACTTATTTTTTATCTTTTTTTAGCTCTAACAATTAGAAGTGGACGTTCTTAAAAAGACTAAACCTAAATAGTTTTAACATCACGCGACATAATACTGTTAAACTTAATATTTACTAACAATATTGAATTTTAAAGACACAGTCGATTTTTCGATTGTGAATTCTAATAGATATAGAAAATATATAAAAATACAATTCAATATTTCTGGTAATAAAAATTTATTCTTTCACAAGTATGTAAAATTCTTTTTTAGATTTTTAAACAGTCCAGAATATAAAAAACTGCACCAAATTTCAAAGATCTAGATTAAAAAGGATACAAATTTTACATTATTGATAAAGAGTTAATATATAGGATGTTTTTTTTCCATTATACAGGATGTTTTTTTTTTCATTTTACGCGCGTATTATTCTATAACGACAGATTTCTTAAATAATTTGAAATTGATATTTCTACAAAGAAAACAGAGAAAAGAGTGAAATTTTGCATATCTTTATTTTCCGAACCTTCGTACACACATTATGATTTTTTTACTTCAAAAAACACATAGATAGAACATTTCCTATTCAATTAATAGAAATGTAACATTATCAAAAATGGAAGTAAGAATATTATGACATAAATATTAATAATATTTCAACGAGATAATTAGTCAATGAGAGAATAACATTTATTATAACTGATATTAATAAAACGTTTAAGCTTCGAAAATATATTTCTACTGCATCTATCAATAATTTATTTTCTTAATAATTATCATTTCCTCGTATTCTCTTATCTATGCAAGTACGCGATTGAAAAATAAACGTCAGTATCCTTCACCTCAACAAACGCACGTACTACGATGAAAATATGATAATTGAGTAGTTGATATGTGTCAATTAATTTAGCGAACTTATCGCAATTAATTCATATTTAAACAACAAAAAAGAAAGAAAAATAGAAATATGTATGTATAAAAGAAATAATTTGCGATAAGTTTGCTAAATTAATTGACAAATTATTATTTGAGATAAACTATTTTTAATTATATTAGAAAATTGGCTTTGCGTATCAATGAACGAGATATTATCTATACATTTATTTACTCTAAATAATTGGTTTGCAGATTAAAATACAAAATGAGTTATTGTTCTTTAAAATTAATAATATTCGGATATATAAAGAAGAAGCATAAAAATGTAATATTAAAAAATGCTGTTCTAATGATTTACAAAAAAAAAAAATGAATGAGTCACCGAAATATGAAACCGGATTTTATTTAACGATATGACATGGGATAACGACTTCAGAGATTGTAACTTAAGCCTAGAAATATGATAGCTGAGTGCCGGATCGTGCTAGTCTGGAGTGTGTCTGCATAAAAATGTTACTTACTCTTGCATTTTGTTCGGCCGCATAGCGTTGGGTGGTCCTTGGTAATCTCTGCAAGGAAAAAAAATCGTAAAAAATGTCACACGTGTGAAACATCTGGCGTATATATTCACTATATTATACTACATTACACTATATATATCGTATACACTGTGTTAATTATCTTCTATATACTAAATTCTATTCGGAAAATAACATATTGATCATATTAAGACTGGACGATATAAATTACATTTAAAAAATTAAAAATTGTTTAATAAATAGATTTCAAAAATAAATTTAAATAGCGTATCTTAAAAATTGGATTGTTCGTTTGAAGACATTGTTAATATATTATTTGAACTATACATTTTTAGATTTATTAAATCACAATATTATAACGCCTTCTTTATTTATCGTTAATTTCAAATAATTCAACAACAAGAAGTCTCACGCGTCTAATATGATTAGATTTACTTGGAGATCATTTTCCTACGCAAAATGTACTGCCCGATAACGATTACACATAAATTAATGAAACACCGGATGTCGCAATAAATATATACACACTGCAATTTATGTTAGTACCGGAAATTGTCGATAATTACCTCCTCGCACAGCAGTTACTGCGCACGCGAGCGCAAGAAATAGTATTGCCTTAGTAGTCATGGTTTCCGGGAACAATCCTTATCGCTTCCAGAATTTGCGAAACCTTCCGAGACAGGTGCTTCTTCACCGCGCGGTCTTCATCCCTCGATGCGAAACTATCAGAACATGTCTCGTTATTTCACCGATTTAATCTGTAAATCCTGTAGATCAATCAGTACCAAAGAGTCATCACTGGAAAAAGGAACTTTCCCGATAAACGATTTTTAATTACATCAATCACACACTATATTCTTCTTAAATCTTTTTCTTTCTTCTTACAGGGGGGGTCTCTCGCCACTTTTGATTTTTGAAAGTTTCGCTTGGATTAATCTTAAATTATACGGAGGTGTATCTACCGAGATCTGTCGTTGCCACGGTGGCTTGGCTCTTTCTCCCGTGGTGAAAATACTCGCGATAACCACCCGGATGATAAACCGGGGTGCAGATCGGCGGCTTGATTGGAGACGAAGGTGGAGGTAGAGAGAGAGTCGAGAGATCGTGCGGCGTTCACTGCGTGCGACTAAATAAGTATTTCCGTTACTGGCTGACCGACGAATGATCGAACGAAGAGGGAGAGGATCGGATGTTAAAGGTCTCCTGATGCTTTCTCTGTTTGCGCAGAGGTCGGAGGTCAGCTTGTCTGATAAGATATATAAGTTGTCCACGACGAAATCCTAGGAAACTTTGCCTTTGTACGTAAGAGAAGCGTCAAGAGTGTCGCACGCATGGAAACCGTCAGCTTCGAATAGCGTTAAAATCAGTTTTGCTGACTTGACTGAAAGAGAAGAAATAATGTTAGCTTTACTAAGGCATATTCTTACGTTACGACGCACGTGTCCTTGCACTGAATTGTTTTTAAAGAAAAATACAGTTAAACGAGATGGGGTTGATTTAAATAGATTTGCTCGAAACAATTGTAAAAATACGCTGAAAAATAATATATAAATTAGGATTAATATATAATTTCTTTTTTTATGTTTTTTGACTATTTGAAGCTGATCATTTAGTTTTCCTTCATATAACTAATCTACTCATATTTAATAATCTTTCATATTTAATTGTTGACTAAGGAAACCAATAATATTTATGAAAATGTATCGAATCTCTTATAATTGAATATGATTTATTATACATACATGGAAACAGTAAAAAGCAAATTACATATATACATATATATTTGTTCTTATTTTAATTAATATTAATTTAGAATATGTATATAATATATATATATATATATATATATATATTATATACATATTCTAAATTAATATTAATTAAAATAAGAAC